GCTGAGCTACAACACCAGCCCCGAAAAATGTACTTTTAAAAAATAAATCCAACTACATGCTGTCTGCAGAGATAAACTTTAAATTCAAAAGTATAAACAGGCTTGAAGTAAAGTTATGAAATCATGTAAACCATAACCAATAGAGTGCTGAGGATTATACTAATATCAGAAAAAAAACAGACTTTTAAAAAGATTGCTAAAGACAAAGACAATGTTTAGTAATAACAATAATAATTGATTAGGAAAACAATAATTATAAACGATATGCATCCAAAATAAGTCCCAAAAATACATGTAGAAAATCTGATAGAACTGAAACAAGAAGTGGAAGATGTAATATTTATAATTGAAGATTTCAGTATTCCACTTTAAATAATGGATAAAGCAACAAGCCAGTAGATCATCAAGGAAATTAAAGAATTTGAACAATGCTTTAAACCAACGGGACTTAACATACCTATGGAATAGGAGCAGAATAGACAAAATGCTCAGTCACATGTGAAATATCATGCAGGAGAGACTATGATAGCTCCTTTCAAAAAGTCTCAATAAAAAGAATTGAAGGTGGGCTGGGATTGTGGCTCAGTGGTGGAGCACTCACCTAGCACATGTGAGGTCCTATGTTCAATCTTCAGCACCACATAAAAATAAATAAATAAAATAAAGGTATTGGGTCCAACAACTTCTAAAAAAATAAATGTTAAAAAAAAAAGAATTGAAGGCTTACAAAATATGTTTTCTGACCACAATGCAATTAAAATTTAAAAATCAACAACAGAAGGACATTTACAATTCATTGGAAATTAAACAACACATTCCTCAAAAGACCAAAGAGTTCAAGAAGAACTCAGAAGGGAAATGAGAATCTATTTTGAGAAAAAAATTAAAATAAACTTGTACTTCCAGTGTCTCTCCTAGTGCACAATGTCTTGCATGCAGCAAACAATGACACAGTTTTATTGAGCTTGGTGGTTTTCTAATCCGGATCCCTTGCAGAGCTTTTAAAAATTCTGATTGCCCCAGCTGTACCCAAGACTGGCTAGCTTAACATCTGGGAAGGTGAAGGCCAAGCTTTGGAATTGTACAGTTTCCCTGGATGAATTTTCTGTGCAGCCAAGGTTGTGAACCACTGGTACATTACTTTATCCATCTGTTCTTATCATTGATAAGTCCTGGCCAAAAACAGTTCACCTCCACTGGAACTGAACTGAATTCAATTTGGCAATTTTGTTTTATTGTTTTTGTTTTTTGTTTTGGTACCAGGGATTAAATTTGGGAGCACTCAGCCTCTGAGTCACATCCCCAGCCCTGTTTTATATTTTATTCAGGGT